TGATGAAGGCGTGTTCATAGAGGTTTTGTTTGTTGTCACTTAAATTAGGAATTCAAAGTGCATAAAACACTAATTTGCAAGGAATTTAGGATGAAAAGATCAAGAAGAGGAGACTAGGGAAGTGAATCCGCCTCCATCCCTATATATATGCTAGATTAGACCTAAATTGGGGGAAAAACAACATATGATGGTCAAGACTTACATAGCAACACATGGTTGCCATATAAGTAATCAAGAGGTACATTAGGTCTCAAACAAGTATAATCAATCAAAAGATAAACATGCTTAGACTACCTAACTAAGGTGTAGCTTATACACATTTACTTAAATGAGAAACTATCAAGTTCTTGACAAAATGATAAAGCACATGGAGTTAGAGATTAAGCATACACCATCAAAGGATTTCCTAAGCAATGGTCCATCAAAGTCACCTATCAACATACCATGAAACCATTTCATAACCTTGCTTCCACTCTCACCATGGAAAACTCAAGCAATATGATTACTCTAAGACATCATCTAAGACAAGATAATCAACTTAAAGAAACCATCCATACATGTATCAACATTCATTACAACAAATGAGGTGCTCTTGGTTATTAAAAAAAAACCATAAAATATACATGGAAAATCCCTAAAATAGACTATCCTAGGACATGCTTACAAGGGAGGGACTTCATCACCTCCCTAGAGAAAGAGTTAGTTACCCATTGCTAAGCTAGAAGAAGGAAGAAGCTCCATCCAAGACTCCATTTTCGTGCTCCTACTGTAGCACTCAAGAACACCCTCTCCTTGCTCTCTTCTCTCTCCTCTATCTTGCTAGAATATATGATAATGTTTTGTGTGCTCCTTCCTCTCTCTTATCAAGCTCAAGTCAAGGCTCTCTCTGCTCCAAGGAACACCTCCAACCACTTCATAAAGAAGGAAGATGGCATTGAGGAAACCAATGTGCAAGTGGCTGAAATTGAGCCATTTCCGAGTGCAATCTGCCTGATTTTCGAGCACTCGAAGAGTGGTCTCGAGCACTCTAAATTAGTGTAATGTGTAACATGCTCTTCTTGCTCAGCACTAACCTACTTTGGTAAAACTGCTATAACTTTCTACCCCGAACTCCAAATGATGATCTATTTGAAGATTTAGAGAGCTGATTCAGTACTTTAAAAACTTCATGTTTTGATGAAGACCCAATTCTCAAGTCTGGTTGGTCGAAAATGGGGAGAAAGGCAGTACTTCAGTGCTGCCAGGCAATTCTGCGCACCTCTGTTAAGAAGATCATAACTCTCTGCTCCGAACTCCGAATGATGAACCGCTTGAAGATTTGGAAAGCTGATTCAGAGCTATAAATATTTCATGTTATGATGGAAGTCCAGTTCTTGAGTTTACTAGGTCGAAAATGGCGACAAAAGTCAAGATCTACTGCTGCCAGAAATTCAGAAATGGCACCCTTTTTGTTCAAAATTCCACAAGGCATCATTTTTGCTTCCTTTTTGCACTTTAACCTGAAAATGCACAAAAACATGCAAATGGAGTTAATCTACATAAAATAATCACTTAATGGACTTTGTTAATGTAATTTAGGGCGCTTGAATATACAGAATTCAGCGCTTATCAAATTGCCAAATATAAATAAATATATTTATAATGGTATGGTTGATTTGTCAAAGCGTAATGAAATTGCTATGTGTTAGATGATTGAAATTTCATCTATGGTTATTGTATGTGTAGGTTGGATTAGGATTAGATATTCTTAAATTAGAATAATCTAGGTTAGTGTATTATTTTATATATATATTAATAAAATAATGTTAGTGAAGACATGAACGATTTGTCAAAGCCTAGAAATTGACTGTGTAATTTAAATAATTAAATCATTATTGGGTTTTGAATTAAATATAATATTCTTTAATTATATTGTTTAAATGTATAATTAACAGTCTAGGATGGGATTGAGGTTAAGGAACTTTTCTTTAAAAGAAATCATGGATTAGTCTATGAATGATTATTATTTAATCATTGGCACTGGTTTTGGAATTAATGAACCTAGTAATAGATGTGACTGTTGTATTTATATATATGCGTATCATTTTTTATTAAAGATAAAAACTTTATTAGGTTTGGTTTTGGTCGGAGATGATTTCTTTATTGGTTTTCAGAGGCCTGGTAGAGAGAACTTGCTCATGGGTTTTGACCCACTTATTTTTATATTTCATGTTATTAGAGGTTCAAGTCTCAAGGTTGAGGATCCGCAGTTGGAGGACTTATCTATTCATTCGGTTTCTTTCAAAGTAGAATATTATTACTCCATTTAACGTTAGTATTTAATTATGGATTCTGGATAGTGTCTTTTGGTTAAGGGGTCCTTGAGTTACGGGATTCCCGAGTTGCAACCATTGGAGAATTATTCATGGATTCAATATTTATTAGTTTTTCTTCAGCGCATTATTTATTCTTTATTTCATTTTGTAATATGTGATTGTTTAAATACTTTAATTATTTTGATATCCCTTGGTTTTGTACGCATATTTGATCAACCTGTGTTCTGAAATTAGGGGGTATCACAAGTTATATCTTCAAATCTTCTGAATATACCCTTAAGAGAAATAGCATTTTGAACTGAAGCCTCACAAGCTATAATCAGATCATTTCCAAAAAAATATATAGCTAATAGGCTTTTGATACTTTATCGTAGATTTTAACACCACCAGTTCTTTATTTTGAACAGCATCAGCAACCAAAGTTGAGAATAATTCAGTAATCAAGGTAAAAAATAAAGGTTAAAAGTAGACAGCCTTGTCTAAACCCTTTATTTGGGAGAAAAAATCCAGCTAGTGAACCATTCATCAAAATAGAATATCTAGATGACTGAAATATAGCTTTAATCCAATCAATCCAATTATCCATAAAACCATATTTCTATAGAGATGTTAACAAACCATTCCAAGAGACAGAATCACAAGCTTTCCTTATGTTTATCAAAGCCATTGCTGTATTCCTGGGCTTGTTGAAATCTCTCACTAATTTATAAGCCATAATTACTACCTCATGAATTTTTCTATCCTATACGAAAGCACTTTGCTCATTTCCCACCAAATTTAGTAAAGCCAGAGCTAATCTATTTGCCATTATTTTAGTAACAATCTTATGCACCAAGTTATAAAGGGCTAGGCCTGAAATCCCCTAACTTTACAGCATTCCCTACCTTTAGTATCAAAGTAATGAAAGAGCAACTAACCCCTAAAGACATTATTTTAGACACAAAAAAGTGTTGAACAGCTGCAAACACCTCTTTATCAGTCACAGTCCAAAAGGTTTGATAGAACCTAGCAGGGAAGCCATCAGGTCCTGGTGCCTTGTCTGGTTTAAAACTCATCACCACCTCCTTTACTTCTGCATATGTAACAGGCCCTTCTAGCATTGCCTTATCTGTGTAATTCAAAATATGCCGAGGAGTTATATCACACACCACAGTAGAAGACTTCATTAAGAAAAATTTTGTGTAATAATCCATAAACCAATCACTAATAACCTTTGGGTCAGTTGAAACCACCCCTTCCTCATTCTCCATTTTGAGTATAGCATTGAATGTTGTTTCAGCTTTTGGTGAAAATCGGAAGTACATCTATCATTATCCCTTAACTAAGTAAGGCTTGATTTCTGAGCTAAAAGGATTCCTTGGTCTGTAAGAGCAGCTTCATAAACTTTTCTGGGATATTGTTCTTCATCAAGCAATACGTCTGAAGGATTCTATAATAGATAGTCCTGAACTGATTCTAGCTTCAAAGTAGACTTAAGGACCTTGTCACCAACATCCCCAAAGATATTCTTGTTCCACCTTTTAATAGATTTTTTCACATTCATAAGTTTATTTAAGAGTCTATGCATTGGAGAGCCATCCACCTCAATATTCCAAGCTTGTTGAACCACTGGTAGTACTGCCTTCTTAAAACACCACAATTTTAACATCTTAAAAGGTTTAGGTCCCGAGGCAAAAATCCTTGATACCTGAATTAACACTTTATAATGGTCAGAGGATTTTACCATAGTATATGAAAATTTTATGCCAGGAAATTTGTCCATCCCAACATTATTCAGGAAGACTCTATCCAGTTTGACATGTATTCTTCTTCTCACTCTCTGTCCGTTACACCAGGACCATTCCCCATTGGTAGGGGTTAATTCTAACAAATTTGCTGTTTGTAAACACTCATTAAATTCATTTAAAGCTTTTTGAGGCACTCTACCTCCACCTTTTTTATCCCAAGAAACCTGATTGCATTCCAGTCCCCAAGAGAAATCCAATCACAGAAACATAGTACTCAATGTGTTTCCACAGCTCTAACCTTTCCTTCCTTAAATTTGCAGCATACACAGGTGTACAATAAAACACATCCCCAGTGTGGTTCGCAATAACCTTAAGAAGCATACACTGATCCTTACTATCCAATATAGCCGCATTGAAAACAACAGGGTTCCACCCTATCCAGATCCTTCCCCCTAAATGTAAATCATAATTGGTATTCAACTACAATTATTTTTAATTTTATTAGAAATAAAATCAAATTTATCAGCTTTCACTCTAGTTTCTAATAAGCAAACAAATTGAGAAGCATTATTTGTAATCCACCCCCTTACCTCTTTTTGTCTTCTTGGCTTGTTTAAGCCTCTTGCATTCCATGCTCCTATCATTGAGAAGAGGAGGAAGGGTGGGGCAATGTCCCTAATTGACTTCTAGTCACCCTAGCTGATATACCTAACCCAGGCTTCTTTTATTTTTTACTTTGATCTTCCTTATTCTCCAGCTTGTGGTCTTCAGTCGTACTTAAAACTGGTGTCGTCTCAGTAGTAAGTGTTGTTGAAACACCCCTACCAATTGTTTTATCTTGTGTCTATTCTTATTCAACAATTGATGTAGATCGAGGCTGAACCTCCCTATCCAATCCCATTGGAGAATAGATCTCAACATCATTTAACGCACCAAGAATAACAGCACCTTCTATATCCTAAAGTAAAATTTCTTCAGTTACTAAACCATTTAGTTGCACCCCCACAAGATTCATCACTTGTACACCAGTTGGACAATCCTCGACAGTAGGTTCCTCAATAGCCCTATCTTCCTTCTCTTCTAACGCAGCAAATGTATTTGATACCTGAATCATTTCCTGAGCAGGTACATGAACCACAAAGACCTGTGTTCTTATTGGCATTTCCTCAAATACTTCATCAACTGTAATGGTCTTACCTTTGTTCTTCACCACCCATTTATCCACACCTTTCTTAGGTTTCGCTTGTAAAACTTTTAATGGACATCTATATGCCAAATGATCAATTTTTTGGCAAAGATCACAAAGTGTTGGTTTCCATTCATATTCTAAGTCGATATCATAGTTGAAACCATGAATATCTACCACCATAGATTCCGGTAACTCCTCTTTGATCTCCACTTCAACCATGACCCGTACAAAATCACCCTTGTCTTGATGTAGTTCAAGATCATCCAGGTAAATCAGTTTTGAGAAGTTAAAATAGACCTTGGACACCGAATCACCATTATGACAATGAATAGGAAGATTATGTATGCGAAGCCAAACCAGAACCAAGTCTAAAACTTCCTTCGATAAATTGACATTCTTATCCCATTTTTTTATTATAATAAGCCTACGTTCAAATGTATGAATCCTAGATATAGTTGGCATAACCTCATCTTCTGATTCAAAATGAACTATAAAGAAGTTATCCTTCAACTAAACAACCGTTACATTCTTTGCCCAATGTTTCTCAACGTAACCCTTAAACCAGTGATAATACGGCCTTTTCCCCATCACATACCCTATCACTGAGTTCTTCCAATAAAGAACCTCCTTTTCAACATCTGTATCTGCGATGGAAACCTTGGCACCTCGACTGTCACTATGGTATTTGAGATTGGTGAAAGGTTTAGAAGAATTAGTGGAAAAAAGGTTACGCCATGAAGAGGATGGCGTAGGAAGGGAAATAGATGAGGAAGAAGGGAGAGGATTAGAGAGAGGAGAAGAAGAAGAAGGATGTGGGTTAGGGCTTAGGATAGGAGGCCAGCTCAGAGAGCCTGCTGGCGGGGCAGAGGAGGGAGGCCCCTCTCCATAGGTGAAAAATCGCCAATTAGGGTTTTTTTCTAAAGAGCGTTTCAAATAGAATTTCTTACAAGTTGTAGTAGCAGGTAGATTAGACAACACTCCTCGAATGCTCTAACCCTTTCAAAGTGTGATTGCTTTTACTTCTGTTCTTCAATCGTCTGAATTTGATGTAGAAGTAGATCTGCTTTTGTTTGATCGATGTAGATGCAACTGTATGATCATGATCAGGATTTGAACACCATAACTCTAAAATCACTATGTGAATCTGTGTGTGTGTTCTAGAAAGGTAAATAGAAAATTCTCTACAAATTTCCGAAATAAACAATCTCTCTAAGGCTTTTAAGAATGATAACTTCATAGTGCAAAAGACGTTACTAAACCTATGTGTATGACAAGGTTTATATAAAGGTTTGCAAAGTCCTATTCTTTCTGAAAATAAAGGAAATTTCATGCATAGGACTTGGAAGGAAAGTAGATAAAAAAGGAATCAAACAGAATAAGGAAACTTAAAACCTGATGCTGTCAGGACTTCTAGAACCAGTTCCCAAATCTTGTATCGGTTCCTGAAGGACAGAATGGAATTTCTTAAATTTCAGTTTCTTGAACCAGTTCTCAAATTTAGGTACCGGTTCTTACTTAACAGAATCCAATTTGAATTTGAATTTTCTATTTTTTTTTTTTTTTTGAAAACTCTGGAAATATACCTTATAGGTATTTGTGTCCTAAGTGGGGAAACAATTTCCGAATGTGTTGTTCTTTCCTTTTAGATGATCAACAGTACTTTCCTCTTTTGAACAACCTTCCAATTTTGCAGTTGATTTCAATCTAATATGGTAACTGAAATTACAACTCGACTAGGACATGTTTTGTTACCGAAATAAACCAATTACAAAAATATATCTCATAATCTCCCCCTTTGGCAATTTCATGACAAAACCCTAAAAACAATTTAATAATCTACCCAAAGAAGAATAGTAAATTACAATTGTTTAAGGAAACACAAAATTTTTTATCTCTGTTCTCTTCTTCTCTTAGACAAAATTTCACCTGAATTTTTGCACATAGATCAAGCAAAACTACCAGTGAAAGTTTATTAAAATAAGTTAAAAACTCCCTCTAAATAAATTATCCAAAAAAAAATTTAGTTTATCTCCCCCTTAAATTAACCATTGTTCTCCCCCTTTTTGGAACAAAAATTGACAGAGCAATTAAACAGGTCATTTAGAGTAGAAACAATACTAAACAGAGAAAACAGTAATCAGTTCATTACATGTCAACAGTCAAAAGATAATATCCAAAAAATATCAAGTCATGACTATGTAAAAACTTAACAAAATGTGATGTTATGATGTAAGACAAAATATCTGGGATCAGTATCTCTAGAAATAATGTCAGAAGGAGAATCAATACGCTCCACCATCATCCTCATCAGACTCCGAATCCATTTTTTTATCACACATGCATCGTGATGACAATACTATAACTAGCTTGTTTGGGAGCTTTCAGAATCTCAATTCCTTTACCTTTGGCTTCTTTAAGTAATTGTGATGCCATGTTTTTCACACAATTCATCACTTTGAAGACTGCAACTTCTCTTGGGAATTCTATCAAACACTTAGTGTGAACTTCAACACTTTTTCTTACATAAGCTTGATTTGAATCTTCAAAACCCCTAACAATCAACCCAACAAGTCTTGAATCACAAGCCAATCAAGTCTTCAATGTCAACCTAAACAACAAAAATTCAATCTTAACCAAATCCACTAAATATTTCTTTCTCAAAATCCCAAACTCCTCTTCAACCTTCAATTTCAACTTTTAACCTTCAAATCTCAAGATCCATGAGATGATTCCATGTTTAACTTATAATAAATGAGAATGATGCAAGATTGGAACAATATATGCAAATATATATGATGTATATATGTATGGAGTTATGTAGGGAGAGAGTGCACAATATAGAGAGAAAGTGGATATGAAGTGATGCCTAACACTATGCAAATAAAGAAGCTTTAAAGCCTTTTCAAGTTGCTAAGAACTGGTATCCAATTTGGGAACCGAATGCCACTGGGCAGAGAGCCTTTGAATAGCGAGGACCACTTTCGAACTAGTACCAAACTTGTGGTACTGGTAGCCAAGCTCCAGAAGTGTTTGGCTTTGCTACTTTAGACCTTTGAACTGGTAGGGGAAAGCTTGAACCGGTACGAACATGGCAGAATGCTTTTTAGACTTTAAAATATTTCAAAAAACCAATTTTCTTCTGGACTTTTTAAATCACTCAATGATCAATGCTTAAAAACAAATAAAATCTACAAACTAGGACCCAAAGATCAAGTTATGGCCATGCCATATATCAAGTCTAAAGTGAATTATATGCAAGCTACCATTAGTCATTTATTTCTTAAATTAACATAGGACATGCATACAACTTGTATATCATTACAAGAACAATTAAATCACTTGGAAAATAAATTACAACACCCCCTACCTTAATAGAGAATAGAATCTCTGTAATCCAAGGCAACCAAGCTCAAAAATGGAAAACCAAACATGGGTTTTATAGAGGAGAGTGAGAGGAAACTAAAGTATTCTAAGCTTAATGGCTTTAGGTGAATGGAAAGGCACCAAAAATGAAGTCAAAGCTCTAAGTCAAGCTTTACTCCAACGGTGGCTAAGTTAGGGTTCTTGAAAGGAAAGAGATGAATGAATTAAAATGCAAACCCTAAGCTAAATGTGGTGGGATTCTCCACTCACAAGGTGCTCTTGCACTACCTCTCACACACACACTAATGCAAGACCAATTGTGAAGCCTACACTTGTCACCATCCTATGTAAACTTCCAAGACTGAATATTGAGCCTACACTTGTCAACCATCCATGCCAACAAGTGCTCCTATCCTAGGCCAACAAATGGGTGAATCTCCACCTTCCATGTGTCATGAGATTAAGCCTCCAAATGGTTCCTCCACAATGTCAACAAGTGGCACCTTAGGAATGTGACACTTGTCACATTTTCGAAAATTGCAAAAAGGTCCTTTTTGAAAATCTCTTCTAAATTAAATTGTAAAATGGTCCCTAAGACGAAAAATAATTACTTTATTTAATTACACAAAAACCCCTCAAGTTTAGAGTAATTACCAAAAGTTATACATTCATGCCCTTTACAAGAAAAGTAAACATTTAACATACTTTTCTACAAAAGTGAAAATGTAGATATCATGGATGTATGCAAAGCCGGAATCAAATCTGAGTGCAAAAAGTGAAGTTATGGAAAGAAAAATGAAAAACGACTAAAGGACGAAATAGGGAAAATACAGAAAAAGAAATTTACCGAAAAAAGAAAAGAAATAAAATGACCGGGTCATTATAGCCTACCCTCCTTAAAAGGGATTTCGTCCCCGAAATCAAATCGTACCTGAAAGAGAGAACAAATGGGGGTACTGGGAGCGAACCTCCTGTTCGAGCTCCTAGGTAGCCTCTTCAACGCCGTGGTGTCTCCACAAGACCTTAACCAATGGAATGGTCTTGGTCTGTAAGATCTGCTCCCGTGAATCAAAATCTGGACTGGACCTTCCTCTTCATCAGCAACAACATCTGTCCACCGCAAAACATGTGATAGATCTCTTTTGTACTTCCTCAGTATAGAGATATGAAAGACGTCGTGTACCCTAAGAGACAACTTGCCCATCTGTCAAAATCTTAGAAGTCCCTTCTGTGGAGAAATCTTGAGAAAGACATGGTCTCCTACCTCAAAAGACAATGATTGTCTCCTCCTGTCAGTGTAACTCTGCTGTCTGCTCTGTGTGGTAACCAACCATTACCGAATCAACTTAATTTTCCCAGTAGTCTCAATGACAATGTCGGGACCCAAGGCAACAGTATTACCAACCTCGATCCAACAAACTAAAAATCTACAAGGCCTGCCATACAACGCTTCAAAAGGTGTTATGCCAATACTAGCCTAGTAACTATTGTTGTAGGCAAACTCAACCAAAGGTAAGTAGTCCTCCCAACTACCACCGAAATCCAAGATACAAACCCATAACATATCCTCCAATATCTGAATGGTGCGTTCTGACTGACCATCAGTCTGAGGATGGAATGCCGTGCTAAAATGAAGCCCCGTATCAAGAGCCTCCTGAAAACTCTTCCAGAAATGAGATGTGAACCACAAATCCCTATCTGTAACAATGGATACAGGAACCCCGTGGAGCTTGACAATCTGTCTCACATACAGTCCACTTAGTCTCTCTGCACTATCTGTCACTGCTACGGATAGGAAGTGAGACGTCTTAGTTAACCTGTCAACTATAACCCAAATGGCATCATTACTTGCCTGAGACCTCGGAAGTCCCATCGCGAGACACGGGTTGATCAGGCCCAGGCCCAAACCCGAGGGAATATCAAACAATTAATATTTTATAATGAACACGGAATACAAAATAAATTAAGAAATGAAATTAAAGCTGGAAGGAACTAAAAATAGAATCCGCAAAATATTATAATTATTAAAATCCATCAAACCCAAACTCCAAAACTCCATCAGTTTACAACTTGGGAATCCATCTCTAGTGGACCCCTAT